ATGACGAAAATTTTGTGCGGAAACTTTGAAAAAAGTTTTCTCGAATGAGAAAAAATGGCTTCAAGAACGATCTTCCGGCACTTCCTCCACGCGAATTTTTTCGTGTTTATATTATTAATAAGTAATCATACGGTTTTTCTCGTTCAATTTGGAATTAATTTTCACTTGTGAGTTTTTCAAACAGCTGAAATTGCACTCCACGAAACGGCTCATGCAATTTCAGCTTTTTGAAAAACTCACTCGTGCAAATTAATTCCAAATTGAAATCGAAACCGTATGATTACCTATACAAACACAACAACCGGAACATACGTGCTCTATAGCAAGTAAATGACGGACGCTCAGCTCCAGTAACCGGTATACTGCAGCTACGTTAAAAATCCGCGTGTAAAGAATCTAGTGGTAACTGGTTTCTGGACCTGTTGGCAGAAATTTTCCATTTTAATAGCCAATAATATAAGAACCTGTTTAGTCAAGTAAGATCACGCAGGTTCTTATAATTATGTGTGATAAATTATGCATGAACTCTTGTTACAGTTAGGCTTATCATAATACAGTTGTGAATAAATACGCTATATTTAAGGACCAAACCCAAGTTTATTGATTTTGTGGTAATTAACAACTATATCTCCTTCGTAGAAATTAAGAACCTACACTGTAATTAAGAACCTACTTAGCGTAAATTGCCAATAACTACCTCAAAATGCAAGGGCATATTTTGCCAGACTTCAAAAAATCTAGGTTCGTACACGTTGGTTTTTGCTGTATGTGCTAAAACTCGATACAAACACGGCGAGTGTTTTCTATTTCGCAAATTGAGTAACTAGATCAGTTATTTGATTCCTGCTGTGAACTTATTTTTCGACATGGCATCTTTTTCTTGCGTTCTAGGGATCAGACGCCATCATGTTCAGCTGTGCGAGGCTGCCTCTTGTCAGAAATACTCACAACATTGCTCGACCTGGCAGCGCGATATCTTGTTGTTCACGGACGACTGGTATATTGGCTTCCAATTTATCGACCGAGGTGACTATTGTCATGTTGTTTGAAATGCCTCTGTTTATAGTGGTCAATGCGCTTAGCTACACCTAGCTAGTTCACAGGCATGCCACTTTAAATGAAGGAAACAAATATATCAACTAAACGTGATAGACTTAAAAATCCCAACCGGCGGGAGGCAGACCAGTTGGCTATTTACAAGCATGACCGAGGAGTTGAACTAGGGTCTTCCGAGAAACAACTCCAGCTAAGTGGTCAGAGCGGGACTTGAACCCGCGACCTCCGGATTTCAAGTCCGGC